CCTTCGTGACCTGTTTGTTGTGACGCGTCGCAACGAAACAAGTGAGCGCAAGCTTATGAAGCGAAAAGAGGGGGGGGGGCAAGAGCGAAAGCGAAAGCGAAAGCGAAAGAGGGTGAAGGCGATGGTCCACCTTCACGAGGCGTTGGAAGGTGGCAATCTCGCGGTAGGTGCCGACGTCAAGAAGGTGCGACCCGCTATCAAGAACAGGACTACTATTGTCTCCCGCCAATGCAACTGTGGTGGGAGTCGAGTTTGGCGTCGTCTCCCCACCTCCGTGAGTGTGGTTGAGCGAAGCGCCACTGGCGCCGGCAGAGGCATGTGCGCCGCTGCTTGCGGCCGAAGAAGGCGAGCGTGAGGCTGCGGGCGCGGGGTGGAGGGGGGACGAAGAGCGCAGTAATGTTCGCGCACGAGTCGGCTTGGGCGAGGCCACCCACGCGGTCGGACTCGCGCTCGCTTGCGCGGCAATCGACGAGCCAGACGGGGTAGAACTCGAAGCCCACACCGAGGCGGAGGGCGGGTTGTTCATCTGTTCGCTTTCGTGTATTAAAATAAAGGGAAAAATGCAATTATCGTAATTAAAACCGAAAAATGATTGGAATATCAAGACATTGCGCATAGCAACGAAGGCGCCGGTATTCCGCGACATCGGAGCTGAGCAGCTCCGGGGCCAGGCATAAAAAGGCGATTTGGTGGCTTCATTCGGCAGAAATCTTCTGCAACTGATTGGCGACGAACCGGCTGCGTACAGATCAGCGACATCATCTGTAATTCCATTCAACATCTCCCCTCCTTTTCTCGACTACAATGCGAAGGATTTCGTCGTCCGCACAGCTTTTCTCTTCCTCTCCTGCCCGTACGCCCCCTTCCATCCCCCCCAATTTCCATTCCCTGGCTTATCCCTCTCTTTCCTCTAGGCCTCGCACCTGGCTCGGTGCGACACTATGGCGTGCAGCCCATGTCGGTGAAAACGATGGGCCTCCTTCCGCGAGGCCAGGGCTTTCTCTTCCAGAAGGAGGAAGGCGCAACATCGTGCGTTCAGCAGCTGAATCGAATCTACATCCTGGACAAGGAGTTGCGGGACTTGCTCCGAACCGAAGCGAGAATGAAACCGCAGGAGGTGGCGCAGAGCACTCAAGCTTCATCGGCTGAGGCTGCTCCCCTCTCGTCAAGCACTCTCGTCTCGACCTCTCCCGCTTCCAAGAAGGCACCGCGGTCTCGCTCCGCACGCTCTGCTCAGTCGAACAAGCCCATTCGAGAGCCTCGCGCATCAAGGAAGGCCGTCGGAAGCCCCAGCTCGTGAGCGCTCGCTGTACAGATTCTCCGCCTCCCCGACCCGCTTGGCATCAACCCCCTAGATGTAGGTGAAACGGTGTGGATGGAGATGCTTTGTGCATCGAGGAGGCGAATGTAACGTTATTGTGGAAAAGTGTCGATAGAATGAATGAATGATAATCTGTAAATCCTTTACACGATGTCAATTTCCTCAAGAGCACTGAAGGGCTTGAGCTTGGTGGTTCTTGGCGCAGCCGTGGACGGCTCTGTACTTGCAAAGACGCAATGAGGAATTGGGAAGAGGGAAGGTAAAGAGTCGGAGGTGTGTACCTGTTGATGGTGAGGTGGTCTGGGTCGTGCCGCGCGGGAGACTGCCGGCCTTGGTGAAGGCGGTGAGGGTGGATTGGACAGGGCCGCCAGTACTTGCCCCCCTGCCTCGCCCTGCTGCTGCACCACTCGGCCGCCCTCCTCGGGTGGAAGCCGAGGCGCCTCGACCTGCCGCCGGTTTCAGCTAGCGTGGAGGGATGGTGGCGTGTGGCTGTCAGAGGCGCACCAGCCCACACGGTTGAGGTGCTTGCGTGGGGGGGGGGAAGTACCAGGGCACTGGCCTTGGAGAAGCCGGTGCCGTGGTCGGCGTCGGTCTTGACTCGCTTGTCCGTGAGATCGCTCGCTCGACAAAAGGAGCTCGGCCGCTGGTCCAACTGCGGAGGAGTGAGAAGCGTCGTAGTAAATCACAACGCTGCGAGAGGGGGGAGGGTGTACCAAATGTCCGAACTTGCCGAACTTCCGCTTCTGTCCCTGCTTGCGCTCTTCTGTCTGCTCCATCCGCTCGAGCGTGCTCCAGAACTGCTTTTCTGATCCACAGTCGTCGATTGATGGTCCTCTGGCCGCCACTTGCTTGGCCTCAAACACGTTCTCACTGTCGTAGAACTCTTCTTCTCCACCTTCATTCGCCCAGCCTTCATTGCCGCCGCTCTTTGCCCCTTTCTTCCTCAGCGCGTTGAGTTGTCTCTCGGCGAAGCCGGCACTGGACAAACATGAAGTCAAATTAGTGGGGTGGAATCAGTCAACGCTCTCTGTACTTGCGGTGGTGAGTGTGCCGTGCGAGATACCGGAAAGAAAAGCGTGTTTACCTGGCGAAGTTGCGTTCCGTAGAGTTGAACGCCTTGATGTCTTTGGTGACCTTTTCTCGGTCTATACAGTAGTCGCAGTTGCCGCACACGAGCCGCGTGGTGTTTTCGCCAAAGTACTCGAGCAACCGCTTTCTCTTGCAGCCAGGCTTGCCTTCGCAGTACTCCACCATCTGCTCAACAAAGCGCAAGAGATCAATAACTGCGCACAGCCTCGCTGAGTGTGAGTAGGCGTAAGTAGTAACCTTCTCCCAAGAGTTGTTGATAGCGTTTTGGCGTGGTTGCGGTCCGGTCTGCTGGCCCTGTCGCTCCCGCTGCTTCTGAGCGGCTTGCGCAAGCAGGAAGGAGTTGAGCGACTTGTCGTCCTTAGAGTAGTAGAGGAGGCTCACAGACGATTTTCCATCTCTTCCCGCTCGCCCCGACTCCTGCAGGAAAGGGGCATTCAGCGCAAGTGAGTCGGTGGTTTTCTACACCGACATGTACGTGCCTGGTAGAAGCCTTCCAAGTTCTTGGGCACGTCGAAGTGAATAACAAAGCGGACGTCGGGCTTGTCGATACCCATACCTATGCAGAGAGGTAAAATGAGCTACTTAACGACATCGCTGGTAGGTCGCGTTGTACCAAATGCAATGGTCGCAACTATGATGTCCACCTCCCCAGTCATCCACTTTGTTTGCACAGCTGTCCGATCAGCGTCTCTCAAGCCGGCATGGTAGGCTGTAAATGAACGACGTTAGCCACAGACCGGGCTCAGGACAAACGTGAGGGCGAGGAGATGAGAGGAGAGGTCGGGGACACCGAAGCCTGCGGGACCTGCGCGTACCTTCAGCGTTCACTCCTCGTTCTTTGAGTTTGCTGGCTACGTGCCCACAGGTCTCCCGCTTATGACAGTAGATAATCCCACACGCACCCGCTCGATTGCTGATGAAGCTGGCGATATCGTTGTGTACGTTCCCCAATAGATCCTACGCGCAGATTCGTTCCATGTTAAAGCGCTGAGTCTGCTGAGTCAGGAGATCGTGGGTAGGCACCTTGAATCTGACTTCGTAATAGATGTTCGGCCGATTGAAGCTGAGCGTGATGATGAGCGGCTTGTCCAAGCGTAGGGAATTGACAACGTCGGTCTGGACTCTGGTAATCTGTGTTACTCTCCCGCGTCTGACGAGCCCAGAACGCAGCATAATAATGACGACGCAAGTACCTGTTTGTTGCTGTTGCCGTGAGGGCTGCAGGGCCACGACATGACACGCGTTAGCCCCAAACAAACTATTGCCCATTGGCGTCCAGCAAAGGGAGCGTACCGCACACCGGAGTGCTGTTGAAGCGCTCCTTGAAGACTGAAAGCTTACGGTAGGCAAACCGGAAATCATGTCCCCACTCGGAGATCGCGTGGGCCTGGAGTGCGAACAGGTAAGCGTTTTGGAAAGAAAGGCAGTAACTGAGAGGGCAAGAACGCACTTCGTCTACCACGAACATGGCGAGCTTGTTATTATTGCGCAGACTGTAGAGTGTGTTGAGGAAGCCTTGCGTGTCGATCAGCTCTGGTGTGACGTAGAGGAGCTTCCTGCAGGTCGCGCCAGCCACACGCGTGAGTGAACTAGTGGGTGCATATGTGCGGCGGTGCCTGAAGTGCGTACGTCTTGGGCTGCTTTGACGTGATGTCTCTCTGAATTAGATCTCGTTCGTCCTTCTTCTGTGACGAGCAAAGCAGCGCCGCAGAGATCCCTGACAAGGCGAAGAAGAAGAAGAAGCAATGAGCACTTCCATCGCGACCCGGAGCAGTGTACATGCATACCTTTCTGAAGCAGCTTCTCTACTTGGTTTTGCTGAAGATGCGTGTAGCAAGGCTGTGTCAGCTCATCGAGCACGATAGCACACGGAAAGAAAGGAACGCACCATCAACGCTGTGGCGTACAACGTTGCGCCGAGTACATACGCACATTAGCGACCAAGCCATGAGTGCCAACCAAAGTAGCAGCGTACCGATGAGAGGGGACACAACCACGGTGATGCCGTCCAACACCAACGCGGGCAGCTGAAAGCAGAGCGACTTTCTACAGGTTGCACAGCTGTAAGGGTAGGCGCACGTGTGCAATCGGAAGCCAAAGCGTACCCGGCACCTGTCGGCATCAGCACGAACGTGTCTTGTCCTGAATTTACGAAGAATCTATAATCAGTTGCACTACGCGATGCCGGGTGTGAGATTAAGATTGTGTGAGGTACCCGAGAGAATGGAGACCATGACTTCCCTTTGCGAAGGGCGAAATTGAGGATGGCCGAAGGTGTTCTGCAAGATTTCCTCCATCTTCTCGGCGTACTTGGCCTCTACCTCCGCCTTGGGCATCAGGCGACGCACGGTCGAAGGGGGAGCAGATGAGGACGAACTACTCCCAACAATTTGAAGAGGCACGTGCACCCTTCGCCTCATTCCCGGCTTCTCCATCTTGTTTGATTCGTTTCTCTGTGTGCGGTTTCTTGCGCGCCAAATTTTTCCTGGCATTCATTGCCTGCCCAACATTCTTAAGACTCAGCGCACAGCCGGCCAGGAGGTGTTAGCACAGTGTGATCAACACCGCTGGCCTGGTGTGTATTGCGTGGAGTGGGCGCCTGGCTGATATGGGCCTCCGCCCTGACCGTCTTCGGCGGAAGAGCCCAACACTGGATAACGGAAGGACCAATGGTGGAATCAGTTTTAAAAACGCAAAGAATTCCAACCATGAGCACCCAAGGCCGGGTGCCAACGAAACAAAAGCCAGAGCAAGAGGCGGAGAAACGGAGAGTGGGGCTTGAACGAAGAGGGGGCCACCAAACCACCCAGACTCCACCAAGAAGACACGCTCGCAAAAGATCAATCTGTTCCGGAGTGAAACCCCACAGATTCGACTCTTTTAGATTACCAGATGAACGTGAAGCGAGCTCCCATCACCACCTTCTGCGTCGTTCTCGCGCTCGTGTTCTACTCGCTCGACCTACGACACCTGGAATGGGCCGCCGCCGCTGCTGCCACCCTGCCCGACGCGGTGGTCCTCAAGCTGCCCGGGTTCCTCTGCACCTGCAGCCTCCTCCTGGGCTTTGCCTTCTACTTCCTCTTCGAGCGCTTCAACGGTACCCACCACCTCTGCCCAGCCCAGGCCGTCGCCCACCTCCCGCTCTGGGACGAACTCAAGACCGCCCGTACTTTGCCCCCCCCCTCTCTACACCCTTCACCTTTGTGGGCTGGCGCTGACCACGGAACTGTCGTCGTCTCCTTGAAGGAGGAGGAGGCACGGTCAGGATGATGACGATCAACATGCTGCTGCGACCGCCCTTCATCAACTACAACGGAGACGACTACAAGAACGAGCGGCTCGAGCTGCTCGTGCGCCACGTCCTGCCGCACTACGACATCGTGGCGCTCCAGGAGGTCTTCTGGTTCTGGAACTTCCGCCTGGGCACCCTCCTCAAGGAGGCCCAGGCCCTGGGCTTCCACTGGTACACCAGCAACGCCGCCCCGCCCCTGTCCTCCCGCAAGTTCATCGACGGCGGTCTGCTGATCCTGAGCCGCTTCCCCATCACCGAGACCCGAAAGCGCATCTACACGAATGGTAAGCGCAGTGGTCGATCATGATCGTCTGGAAGTGGTGGTCGATGTGGTTGAGCGCTGCTGACCTGACACGCGCGCGTACCAGGCGTGCAGATCGACGGATGGGCAGCGAAGCAGGCGCTGTACGCGAAGGTGCACATCAGCCCGACGACCCACATCCATGTGGTCACCACCCACACGCAGGCCGACTACGCCAGCAACAGCACCAACGCCCAGAACGCCACCACGCGGATGAGCCAGATCCGCGAGATCGGGGAGCTCATCCACGACGTGTGGCGCGAGGACCCGCACAAGGGCGAGGTGATCGTGATGGGCGACCTCAACGTCGACGGCCGAGCGCACGACGACGAGACCCGCATGGCCAAGCGGGACAAGTGGGGCGCCTGGGTACGCCGACATTTCCAGGCGTCGTTGCGGTGCACGCCTGCTGACGAGTAGCGGCTTGGCGCAGGGGGAGGAGGACAGGGACAGCGAGGAGTACAAGGTCATGATGGAGACGTTCAGGAGGTCGGTGCGGGGCAAAGCGGTGGTGGGCAAGTCGGTCAAGAAGGAGCTCGGCCTGGACCACCACAACAACGGTACGGGCTACGGGCTCTAGTTCTTAGGCGTATATGGTGAGATGGACTCGCACCAACTTACGCGATTTTGCTGGCGATGAACTAAACGTAGGGTGCAAGGCCAAGGAAAGCGAGCCTGATGCGGCCAAGCCTCTACTGATCTGCACGGACCTGCTCCGCGAGGCCAACAAAGGCGTCAACCCGGTCACCATCGGCGACGTCAAAGTACTGGACGACGGCTGCCTAGCGTACATCTCCTCACATATTCCTCTGTCTCGCACATGCAACCCAAAACCTAACCTACCACGCTCGTTGCACGCGCAGCCCTCGCGAGACAGCACTGACCGATCCGGTGACGGACATGCTGTCGCGCTCGTGCCTGGACTACATGATCCACTTCAAGCTCGTCGATGAGTCGGCTCCCAAGCGGGAGGAGCTGGCGGTGATGGAGGCGCAGGTGGAGCCTTTCTTCTTCGACCCACGCAAGCTGGGCGGGCTCCCCATCACCCAGCTTTCCGACCACTACGGCCTCTCCGCCGCCGTCACCATCAAGCCCACCACCCAGTCCTCCTAAGCACCGGCCCGGTCGGCGCACGGTGCAAGTTTGTGAATAGTTTGTGTGCAAAGACTTGGTATTTATTGTAGAGCGACAGAGAGAGGAGAGGAGTGACCGAAGTTCGGGTTTCTTAGGTCTCGAACGGGTTGAGGAGGGTCTTGAGGATGTCGCGGATGGAGACGACCCCCAGGAGCCTGCGCTGGTCGTCGATGACGAACAGCCGGTGGACGTGGCGCGCGATCAGCTGCTTCACCGCATGGTCGATGCTCGAGTTGGCGTCACAAGTGCAAACCTCCCTCTGCGACTGCCGTGTGAACAACAAAACGAGTGTAAGCCTGGGCAGCACACGCCTGGCACGAACAAACACGAGCGAGCGGGCGCTTACGTCTGCGATGGAACCTCGCAAGGCAGTCAGGTAGTCTCTCGCGCTCTTGCCAAGCAAGTGCAGATAGCCCAGATCGAACCCGAGGAGCTGTCGTGACATCGATGAACAAGGTCAGGAGCCATTCGATGGTCAAAATGAAAGGTTTTCTTTAAAATTGGTAGAAGTACCTTCAAGTCAGAGGCACTGATGACGCCCACCAGCTTGCCCTCTTCGTCAACCACAGCCACGCCACTAATTTTCTGAAAAGCGAAGAAGTCAGACAAAACACTGTTTTATCACACCATCACAAGCTCGCGCTGTACCCTTTCACGCATCAGGGCGAACGCCTCGCCCGCTGGCTGGTCTAGCCTGATGCGCACCACCTGAACCAACGGCCCAATGTCAGATGGCGTGCAACCCAAGACGGGCGAGAGTGCGAAGGTGGGCACGGACCTCTTTCTGGTGCAGATTCCTCTCCTGCAGGGTGCGATGAGCCGGGTCGGGCAGGCTGTCGAGAACGCCGGACACGAGGTGCAGCATGCGCGACTGCGAGATCACGGTGACCAGCTTCCTGTTGTCGTCCACCACCAACACTCGACGCGCTGGATCTTCCGCCCGACCCCACGCACCCACAGAAACGACGTCTGATCAGTAACCAACAGTCAACTGTGCGTGGGGAGTAGTAGTAGTACTCACCTTCATCGTCGATCATGAGCTGCACAGCGTCGATAGCTGTCTGGTACTCCTTGATCGTGTGCGCCTTGTCCCATGACTGCAGATCTGCGCGTATGGCGTGAGGAAACCACCGTTGTGACAATCAACGTACGAGCGCAGCAGCGGCAGCAGCGGCCCAGCTGAAGGCCCCGTACCGGGGATCTCCCGGATGCGCTTGCCGAGGAGGTGGTTCTTCTTCGCCACGAGCGCGTTGAAGTCGTCGCCCTGCAGCTCCTCCGCAGAGAAATGCCGCACAAAGTAGGAAACAAAGTGCAGCACGCTCACCACCCCTGCGCTCACGTGAGCACGGCCGCCAGTCACCGGTGGGGTGAGTGTGGGGTCCAAGCACAGCGACTCAGTCATCCGGATCCATGGATGAAGGTGAGACACACTTACCCAGCGCCGTGCCCGAGGAATCTACAATGGGTGCAGAGAGGAGCTTCTCCCGTGCCAACGTCTGCCATGTTGTAGGAAGAAAGAGTGTTGTGAGGGAGGAAGCACGAGCAGACGACTACGAGGAGTAGTGGTGTACCTCGAAGGCCTGGGCTACAGAGTCGTCGGGTGATAGGGCCACCACTTCGTTCCTGGCCGCCAGGGGGAACACGGAGTGGCTTGCCTCAAAGCCCTGCGTTGGTTGCACACAGAGTGTTGGGTCGAGAAGGGAGGCCCGAAAGGTAAGGGGGGTGACGTACTCCCAGGACGTCGACGAGCGACTTGGGCTGGTCGCGCCTCTCCACCAAAACTTCGCCGCCCGCTTGGGTGACGTGCGCCATCTCTTTACAAGATTAATCTTCTGCTTTCGTGGGTTGAGTTGATTTGCTTGTCTTTGTTGCGCGAGTATGTGCTGGCCAGCCCTCGCTTCCGCCCCCTTCCAGAAGTGCCCGAACACCAGACGGACCCCTCTTGAAAACTCGCTGCCATCTGCATCCTCCTCAACACAGCTTTTCTTCCATCTTTTCCTTCGTTACGCCCGTGTTTGTCTGCGGATGGCGCAGTTTGGTGGAAGCACGGAGCTGTCGCTGGTGGAGAGCTTCGTGTCGCGGCATCTGGTGCGCCGGGCGCTCCAGCATCACTCCCTGCCCTCCACCCAAGTCGCTGCCAATGTGTATGCCCCCCCCCCCAATCGCAACACTCCCCTGACCACGCTCGCGAATTGGGCTCACTCGGGGCGCGTAGCGGGGATGAGGTGGAGCGGGTGATGAGAGAGCTCGTGGGCGTGATTGCCCGTCTCGCTGTGGGCAATGCACGACAGAGGTCAACCAGCGGCCTGCCCTTTCCTGTGAGTGCGTCTCCCGTTGCCACCACTCCGTTCGCTGCGGCGGTGGTGGCACCGATGAACTCACCCCACCGGTGTTGCCCACAGGCATCAGCGAGGAGGACGTCTGGCAGGCCGTCCATCGCCTCGGGCTTGACGACCACTTGGCCCTGCCGTCGCCCATTCCCCTCACCCGAGGGTCGACGTTCAGCGA